CCGCGCCGGCGCCGTGACGTCACGCCCTGGAGCTGCGGGCCGGGCCGGGCGGCGGCATGGCGGAGAGCGAAGCGGAGACCCCGGGCACCCCGGGCGAGTTCGAGAGCAAGTACTTCGAGTTCCATGGCGTGCGGCTGCCGCCCTTCTGCCGCGGGAAGATGGAGGACATCGCCGACTTCCCGGTGCGGCCCAGCGACGTGTGGATCGTCACCTACCCCAAGTCTGGTAAGTCGGGAACCCTGCACCGTGCCCGGCGCCCGCGCGGCTGTGTGACCTTGGGTAGGTCGCTCAACCTCTCTGTGCCCGAGTCCTGTCCGGCTCCCCCAGTGGTGCCGGCAGCGGGGGCGGCGGGCGCTCCTCCAGCGTGGGCTCTGTGGGGGATGGGACCGGCCTCTGCTGCCCCTGTATCCTTGTTTATGAGCTGCCTCTGTCACCAAGAGGGACCTGGCCACTCGGGTCCCCAGCAGCCACGCAAGGCAGAGCTTCTAGGTAGAGGCTCAGAGAGGGGAGGAGGCTTGTCCAAGGTCACACAGCTGGGTTGGGACCGGAGCCACCCAGCCACCCAGGCCTGGTGTAGAGGCAGCCAGGTGGTGCCTTTTCCGGGGTCTACGGCTCAGCAGACTTTCCCGTTTGCAGTGCCTGGAGAGCGCCCTTGTGACCGCCGTCCTGCAGGTTCAGGGTAGTTGAGAAGGTGGCTGGCCATCATGCTGCTGTATCTGAGCAGGCGGTTACAGGAGAAAAATGTAAGCAGTATGTCACCCAGGGTGGAGTCCCAACCCTTAGGGCAGCTGCCCAGCTTCCTCCCAGAGAGTGATGGACACTCTCAGGGCAGGGGTATGGGTGCAAAGGCCCCGGGGTCAAGTCCTGATGCAGGCACTGACCCACCGCTAGGCAGACAGCTTGCTGGGATGTCTCGGAGAAGGCCTGGCAGGAGACAGGCAGGTCCCACTGAGATTTGAACCACCCCGTAGCCCTCATCTCAGCCCTAGGCCCCTGCTGGGTCTCGGGTAGGATCTACTTTCAGAGAACTCTCTGTAAGTCGCCATGGCGTGCGCTCCACAGCTGGTTTTGGGGCTGTACTTGGTATTGTCTCTTTTGGGCCAGCGCCTGGGATGAACCCTGTAGCCTTATGCTCGGTGCCTGCTCTGCCACTTGGCTGTGCTCCTAGAGGCTGGTACTTAAGCAGGGCTCGTGGCTGTACTGTCCTGCCTCAAAGAATATGGATGTGCACACGGGTAAAGAAAGGTCCCTGGACTTAGTTGTGGGAGACTTGGTTCCCAGAGCCCCTAGTACCTGGGGGTGTGGCTGGGGTTGTAGAGTAGCTGCTGGGGGAGGGGGACAGAGGCGTGAGTTATTGGAAGGGACTGAGGGAGTGGCCGGGCTGGAGGCCCAACTGTGAACTTTGGGAGCTGGTGGTGTTAGAGAAACACAGTTCTGGGGTCTGGTGGGTTCTGAGGAGCTTTCTGGACATCGCAGGGAAAAAGGAGATGGGACACTCATGCGTGTGAGTGTGTGCTTGCGTGCATGCGTGCGTGCATGTGTGTGTGTGTTTATAATTTTGGGACAGGGTCTGTGTACCCCAAGCTGACTTGAATTTTCATCCTTTCTGCTTCAGCCTTCCCAGTGCTGGGATTGTTGGGGTGCACTATCCTTATCACCCCACAGGGTACCAGGGTTTTTTTTTTTTTTGCATGTGTTGTTGTTGTTGTTTGAGACAGGTATCAGGTAGCACAGGCTGCCCTTGCTATGTAGCTGAGGCTAGCCTTGAACTCCTGATCCTCCTGCGTCAGCCTCTCACATACTGGGTTCCAGGAGCCCTCCCAGCCACCACTGGCTGGATGCTGGTTTTCTGGGCAGCAGACTCCCATGTTGTGTGGAACATGTACTGAGTACCGAGAAGCACAGGCCAGAGCTGGGATAAAAGCATCAACTCCTTCCCCAGTGTTGAGACCCCAGCGGGGGCTCAGGGATTCGGTTTGTGCCCTCCCCACTACACCCTGC